AAGTGCACTTTTTAAACCTAAAGTCTTGCACAAAGCATTTGAGTTGTTTGTATTACCAGTCTATAAGCAGGAAATACCAAAAGAGGGTTGTGTTAGCGTTGCAAGAATCTAGCAGTTGTATGGATATTAATAGCTGAGATGTGTGTATTGACTTGCTTGTGATGTCCTCCGGGCAATGGACTAGGAGTTAATCTGCCTCCAGCCTTAACTGCCCTCGTGACACTTTGTCTCTAAGGCATTGAACTAAGTCTCCAAACAGCTGGGACCAGTTCTCAGCTACTTTTAAACTTCCTTTGTGACCTTGGGCCAAGCCACTCATGTGCACTGGTTTCTTGTATCTAAGGCAGTCATTGTACTAAGGTTGTTCCTTTTGTCCTTAGTGTTGAGTAGGTAGATACATGGGGTAGCAATGGCTTCTGCTGTCTGATCTGCGCAAGTAAGAGTACCGGTCCCTGAAGTCTCTGAGTGCTTCTGTAATCCACATAAGTGAGACTGTAAATCAGGTCTGAAGACTCATCGTTTGACTTCAGAACACTGAGTTGTTCTTTAGGTGGCTTGGCCTTTGCTCTAGCCCACTGCCCCAGATGATTTTGTGAGTAAAGTTACTACAGTCAGGAAGAAATAAATGGAAAAGCAAGAGGACAAATATGGTCTTGTTTAAAGGAACTATTGGGTTTTATCATGACCTAAAGCAATGTGCTTTATTCAGCAATTTTTACAAACAGGAAGGGTTATTTAAAAGACTACAGCACTTGCTGAATCATGGAGCAAGAAAAAACTGAGCACAAGAATTAAACAGACCAGATTTTGCAATTTTCAGAGCTTTTCTTGTGTCCTTAATGTTCAGTCTTAATTGCCTTAAACAGATACATCAGAAAGGTTGTTTGAATACTTCCCTGGTGCAGCAAAAGGGAGGTGAAATCTAGGTAATCATTTGAGAAGTTTGCTTTCGTAACGGAGACTGCTAATATAAAAGCAAACCCCCTCTTTGACGTAAAGGGGTTTTGGGGGATTGGGGGAGAAAAGAAAGCAAACAGCAGTGGTAGTCGAATTGGCTCCAGGCTTTCTCTGAGCTTTATTGGAGACTTGTATTTACAGCGTTCTCCTTCCTGTGCTGGGATCTGTTTTTCTGTTTAATCAGAAACAGCCCAAAATCACACTGTACATAGATAGTACTTGGCTTTGTACTCTGCTTCTCTCAACACTGTATTTCCATTTTACAGATGGGAAAACTGAGGTCTGGAAGTACAGCTTTTCCCAAGGCTGTGTAGCACAGCAGGGAGTAAAGCCCTTGTGGCTTCCAGAGTCGTCATCTACACCCTGGCTTGCAAGGCTCAAAGAGTATCGCAGTGGTCTGGCATTAGGATTTCCTGCATTCTGTTCTGTCTTGTCTATTTTTGCCGAAGGCAATGTTTATCCTGCCCTGTTTTGAATTACTTCCCCTCTGCCAGGGCAACAGGTCTGTAAGTAGGTATTGTTAAGATGAAATGATTCAGGCTTTACCACTGCATGATCTCACAGTGCCTAAATAAGTGCTCATCTCTTTCTCGTTTCATTTCTGATCTGCAAGCCATTGGAGGTAATATATTCTAGGTGGAGCTGCGGGCCCTGGGCCTGGATGTGAGCATCTGCGCCTTAGCACAGCGGGACGTCAGTGACTTGAAGGGGAAAACCCCTCTGAAAGGGATTGAGCCTGCCCAGCTGCTGCGGACTCCTGATTTCCCTGCAGTGATTTTTGTGTCTCCATAAAACCCACTTACTTGATTCTTAATGTATAATTTTTTTGTTCTCCATGTTGTGAAATGTGCTCGCACTGGGCTGAACCAGGAGGAGTTAGACGCTATTCTGTATTTATTTGTCTGATAAGGAGGGGCTGGCTGAACGGGGCTCTGCGTACCCACGAACCTGACATCTCAAAGTCTTGCTGAGTTCTTCCTGTTGACTTAAACTTCTTTAAATTTCCCTGTCTGGCCTGAAAAGACCTGACAAACTCCTCACTTCAAAAGATCTTATTTTAATCCCAGAGTACCCACCTCTTCCCCAAAGTGGTCTGAGGGGGCTTTCCTAATATTTTAGATTAGAGCCTGGACTTTGTTTCCAGTAATTCTGCCACAGGTCCTACAGATTTTGTGTGAGATGTCATCCAGATCAGATGCACCAGGCACTGCAAATAGTGCTCTGGGGGAATTGCAGTGTCTTTCAGAAGTAACACTCGCATGCTAGTGTTTTCCAGCTCCTAGTTTCTGCGGACCATAGTGGAGTTATTTTCCTGTGTTTAGATCTGACATGAGAAGCTTGGGATCTTATCTTAGCCTGTCACTTTAATGCTATGCATTGCATAAATAAAAATAGAATGAAAGATTTGGTTTCTGTTAAGTCAGGAGAACTGCATGGCCTTCCTAGCAGGGCTGGAGAGGAAGAGGAGGGAAGAGACTGATATACTTCACTGCAGTCCTTACATCTAAATATAAATAGTTCTCTTCTTGGATCCTTTCAGTCTGAACTTCTGGGTGATTTGACCTTTCTTTGATAAAAGCTTTCTTTATTTGCAAGAATAAAAGGGCAAGGGGGAGGAAAGGACACAGCAGATTTTTTTTTTTTTTTTTAATGTCTTAAAATCTTAGCAGTTGTTTTCTGCAGTACCCAGCGCTCGCTGTTGAACCAGCTCCATCTTGGACTGCAACTTTTCTCCTCCTCTGAGTCCCTTGAGTGGGAACTTTGCATTTTACTCTAAAGCATTAACCAGGAAGTTTATGGAAGTGTGTTTTCTCACAGGGAGACCATGCTCTGGTGGAGATGGATATCCTGGGCTCCAGTCCCCGGTCTTGCTGCCGACTGGGTGGATCACTTTGAGCAAGTGACTTGGTTTATGCCCATTATACCACTAACCTTGGTTTTCCTTACTTCATAACTTCACCTGAAAGAAATATTTGTATTAAATGCTGCTGGTTTTTCATGTGTACACCCTGAAGCTTTTTGAGCTCAGCATCAAAACACAGCTCTGTTTCATATGTAAAACCACTGGACTCTCTGGCTTTGGTCAGGTTAGCAGCCTGTGCAAGGGGATGCACAAGCGCAGTATTTATAACTGCTCCAGACTACACACAAGTCTTTCTGGCACTAGTTTTAACCATTAATTGCCACTTTAAATCCAGCAATAAATTGTTTGGGCAACCACACTGCATGAGCCCACTGCCAAAAATAAACCAGAGCCTGAGAATTACTCAGGTCCCCTTCATGCTTCAGGACTGTTGCAGCTGGATGGGGTAGGGCACCTCTTGGACTCAATCTGAGCGTTTTTTTGGCATCTCACATCTTCCGGACACAGTTTAAGCCATCACCCTGCAAATGATGCGAGTAACACTTGAAATGCATTGCATTTATGTATTGGTTTGCCGTTTCCTTCTGAAGCGCAGGATGGTGTGTGGGAATGCCTCTGGAAAAGCCTTCTGATCTTTTGCAATTTGGATTTTGTGGCTTACTTCCCTGTCCTCTTGGATAAAGTTTCCCCTTAGCTGCCTCTCCTCTAGTGGAGCTCATGTCTGTCTCAGGACTGCAAACCCTTGTATAATGCTCTGTCGGATCAGGAGTCACTCGGAGGGGAGAGACTTTCCATTTCAGAGTGTGCTCCTGAACCCACCTGAAACATGCTTGAGAGTAGGCATGCTGCTTAGTTTACTTCTGAATTTCCACTTGCTCTGCACGGGATTCCTGTTGGTTTGGTGCCTTTCCTGCTGCTTTTATACACTGTGGTACAGAGTTTTTTCTGGCTAGGAGCCCTCTAGTAATGACTGTTATTTTAGAAAACCTAGTTACTGCTCAGGCTGCCCTGTATTGTACAATGAGTTGTAGCAATTACATGCTGGGTAGGAAATGAAGTTATCAGGAAAGGCCTACTTCGTAAAAAGCAACAGTTGACTTTATTTTAAACCAAATAAATTGGGGATTAGAGGGTGCTGTTAGGTTCTACCCCTAGTTAAAGAAAACAAAGCAGGAAAATGTACTGTATTAGCAAAAGTGTGATTGTCTAGGCTTCTAATAAATCCTGTATAATTCTTGAAAGTTTTAAGTTTAAAACAGGCCAGCATACAAGGAATGATGGGTTGTAACAGAGAGGGCCGTCTTTAGGAAAGGTGAACAGTATCAATTTGCTTATAAGAACATACTGATTTCCATTCACATGCCCTTTCTGGGAGAGGGTGGTAGCACCGGTGAGGGGCGGCAGTAGAAACTAAACTGCTTTAGCAGCAAGCGCAAGAACAGTGCCAGCTTCTTACACTGTTTCAAATAGGACACCTTGCAGGGGTTAGAGGGAAGATTAATCCTCTACAGGGTTAATCCTTAAATCCTTGGTGTTCGGCTTTTGAACAAGGGAGGGAAGCTAACAATGTTCTCAGAAGTGCTGGGAGACCACCTACTCTTTCATATAGACTGCCAAGAGCTGTCAGATGGAAATGATTTTTGGACAGTAAGAAGTCAGTGTGGAATCACACTGGTGACCAAGAGCAGGCTCTGTATCCCACAGTCTTTGACTTACACCCCTAGTGACTCTTGCCATGGAGGGAAGAGGGTTTCCCAGACCCATCAAAATTCTTCAGAGGGGTGTGAATTAGCGGTGGGTGGATGGTTCATGGTCTCTTGTGGTTAACTTTAATAGATGTATGTTCCTCTGAAGATGCTTTTTGGCAAGCACATGTATGGCTGGTCTAGTAGCAGGAGAACGTGGGATCTCTGATTTAAAACCAGGATGGTCTAATAAAACAACGAGTAGCGGATCCCTGTACCGGCTGTGTGCTTTGTGACACTAACCCCTCTGCTCGACGCAGCTCTGTGCGGTCTGTTCTCTGTATTACTGCTCTTAACCACAGCTGTCCAGCCGCTGGTTTGCTTCCAGATAACCACCTTGGTGTGAGAACTCTGCTGAAACTTGTCCTTGCCAGCTGTCCATCTGTTTGCTGTATGCCTAAGTGTTCCCTGTATGTTTTCTGTCTTGCAGCATCTGGAGAGGGCCAAATGTGAACTGCGTTGACAGTACTGGATACACTCCACTGCACCATGCTGCTTTGAATGGTCATAAGTGAGTCATCTTATAATGTCTTTGATCATAGGGGATACTATGTGCTTTACAAGGTACGGTTCCTGTGTAGTTCATTCACCAGTCTGATGCTGTTTCCACTGAAAACATGGCAATGGTGCAGCACTACACCATCTTCAGGACAAGAAGTGAAGAACATCAGTGCAGTGAAGCTATAGAGGCATTGGCTGCTGCACAGTATGATCGTACATCTCATTAAAAATTTGGCAAAACACTGAGGTTTTCAACCACCCTTTTATTTATAAGCAATTTGGATAAGTTATAACAACATATTAAAAGTGGCTTCTCCAGTAACAGTCCTCTGTAGTCTGTCTGGTGTCCAATGTGTTGCTGTGCCTGCACCACTTAAAATTTGCTTTCATGCATATTACATTTTTAAGTAACTGCAGTCTTCAGTGTGGTAAATCTTGTATTGTTCATTGCTACTTAAGATACGGAGAAATTGAATAGAGTTAAAATCCTTATTCATCTTCATCGTGCTGGTGCAATTCACTTTTCACCAGAGTGGCTTGCGGATGACTGCAGTCCCTATTCAGCTCCATTAGTACGAAGGTAACATAGATCTTCCCTGAGCTCACCTCGGCAGTCTCTTTGGGTTTTTGGTTTTTTGTTTTTTGGTTTTTTTTTTTTTTTTTTCCTTGGGCAGCATTTAATAGGAATGCTTTAAAATCACATTTCAAGAGGATCTCTTAAATACTCCTTTTCAGATGAACTTTTTGTAAAATACTCTACTTACTGCAGAAGGTAAGCTGAGAAACAAGGACTGAATATCTTATGGACTCAAGTTCCCTTCTCTTGCAGGGATGTGGTGGAAGTTCTGCTGAGGAACGATGCATTAACCAATGTAGCAGACTGTAAAGGCTGTTACCCTCTTCACCTGGCAGCTTGGAAAGGAGATGCAGACATAGTGAAGCTCCTCATCCACCAGGGACCTTCACATACTAAAGTGAATGAGCAGGTCTGCGTATTTTTCTCTAATATATCGTTGAATCGCTTCCCTCAGATGGAGAGAAACTACTATAGCTGACTCCTGACCCTTCCCAAACTAGTAGCAATTGTTATAAAGTCCTACTTGCTAATGGGATAAGAAGGGCACTGCCTAAAGCAAATACCTCCAGTTCTGAGTTAGTGATTGAATGAGTAAGGTGTTTATGTTTATAGAGAGATATATAAATATGAGAACCACTCAACATGTAGGAAGTGGTCTCCTGCTTTCATACTGGGCTGCTAAAACTAACCCATAGTGTTTCCTTTCAGCTGCTGGATAGCTGAGAAGGTTTCTAGTTCTGTCAAAGGATACATTGGCTCCTTCTTTGGGAACTAATCAAAGCAGCTTTGTTTAGTTTTTGTTTGGCCATGCTCTCTTAGCTATTCTTCTGGCTTGTCTCTAGCACTTGCTCCAGTTAACTAATTTGTAAGTTGTAAGATAACTTTAACCCTACTTGCCCCCAGATAAATCCCTAGCTTAATCTTAAAGAATTATTTTCTCAATCAGGGAAGAAAAAAAAAAATCTGGTGGATTTCTTCCCTTTGTCAAGCTGATAGTTTTTGGTCTAGGATGCAGAAGGATTGATGTGTATGAGAGCGCTATTCTGTACAGTGGCTGCTGCGTCCACTTTGGAGGGCTGGCTCTTGAGCAACTTCCCCATGAAGTCAGCAGGTATCTTACAGTTCCAGGGAACTTCTGACATTCTACTTCTGGAAGACCCAAATATTTCATTTCTTTAAGAGTTGGATAAGCGAACTGGTTTACTGAGTGAGGCCAGTGAGCAGTGTTACTGAACCACTTATGGCTGAGTGAGCTTGGGCAGACATGCAGTAACAGATACACATCAGATGGTTAAAGCTACAGTAGCCCTTGGTTGTCCTGTCCCTAAGGCAGGAATATCTAATGTCCCTGTGAATCGACTCTTAAAGCACTCAGGTTTTCATCCAGGAGGAGAGGAGTAAACCAAAATAAGTTGTCTGCCTTAGTACCACAAGGCTAAAAATGTGTATTCATTCAGAAGTTAATTCACAAGTAGGTCAGACACTCATGGCTCAAGTTTAGGAAAATCTGTCAAAGTCAAGATGAGCAGCTGGGAACTGTGAGTTTCTGCTGTTTAATTTTGATCTGCAGTGTATACTTTTCAGAAGCTGAGGAGCAAACTACCTTCGGAGTCAGGTTTAGGAGTCCTAATCCTGCTTCCAGCCATACTTTGTGGGGACCAAAGTGCCATGCTTAAGTTTTCTGTTCCTCAGTATAAGATGGCTAACTTGATGCATCGGGCTGCTCCAAGGCTAAATGGTTGCTTCTGAAGCATCATGAAATGTGAAGTACGGTGGTAATGCTATTCACTACCACTCCTCAATTGAGCAGAAATAACTAAGAGTGTGTGTTTTAATGTCTTTGTTGATAGTTTTCCAGTTTGGGGCTGTGGTTAATAATGTCTTCAGGCACAGCTGCAGGCATTCAGTCTGTTTAAATAGGTTTGAGAAGTGTAGTTAGCTGTTTACAATCAACCTGATAAGAATTGACTGAGGGCCCTGAATGTAAACTGTTCTGCTCCGAGTAGGACAGGTATAGGAGAAACCTTTGCAAAAGACTAAAAGCTTAGTGTAATCCTTCCAGGTAATGTTTCATTAATGTCTGTTTAGTAGGAACCTTTTTAAATGAGAAAAGTCAGCCGAATAGCCTGTGCTGCTTGTGTTGGAGTCTTGTAGATGAAATGCACAGTGGTTCGAGTTACAGGAATCGACAGCTGGAATGGCTTCTGCTGTTAATAGCTTTGACTGGAACAAGATGCTGTGTTCTGTCATTTCCACCCCTTGGGAGTCACCCATTGCTGTGTTGCTATATCTCACCCATTTCATTGTCACATTTTTTTTTCTTTTTCCTCTTCCTTTTTGTAGAATGCTCTTGAGATCAAAGAACTCAAAAAGTACGGCCCCTTTGACCCATATATCAATGCCAAGGTGTGTACTTTGCTGTCAGCATTTCACTGCATCATTACTCCAAGCTGCACTCGCGTGCTTCCAGGTGCAATGTCATCCAGTTGCAATAATACCTGTTCAGTTTGCAGCTGCTTGGGGAAAAGTAAAATGCAACCATTTATTTACTGTGGGTTTCTTTCTTCAAAGCAGTTATAGAAACATAATTTAAGGGAAGCTTTTCCTTACTTTCCTGGGGGCTCCTTCATTGCTTAGCCTTGTAGGACTCACGGTGACGGTCAGTTTGCTTGGTTTGGCTGGATGACTTCCAAAAGGTAATGTTATTTCAATTAAAATGCTTTAGGTTTTGTTTCATGTGCTAATGTTGCTGATAAATGCAAAGGGAAGGAAACTTTGTTCCTGCTTAAACATGGATGCATTTTCTCTGTGGGCTGTTTGGAGTGAACTTTCATGCCTTTTCTCCTACAAAATGCATAATGCTGTATTTGTCGTTGGAATGGACAGTTAATTCTTTTGGTGGTGGTGGGGAGATGGGAAGGCAGTAATGTTCATGCCTCCCTTCCCAAGTCCTTCATGTCCTGCTTATTGCATCAGTCTCTCTTTTTTGATGTTAAGTCTGTTGTGTCGTCTGACCCTTCAGCCCTAGTCTTCTGTTCCTGTTTTCTTGCCTATTTTGCTCCTCTCTTGCTTTTAGTTGTTCTTGAGCTACAAAAAGGCTTGACATCAGCACTTATGATGCACTGAGGCTGAGCAATTGAGGAAGCAGATAAGAAAATTCCTGGTGGTGTTTTCTCAGACACCATTTTTCATTTTTATTTATAGTGAAGCTGCAGGCCAGTGATGGCATAATAGTCTGCTGATTTATCATGAGATACTTCTGTTCTCAGCTACCATGCCACTATTGCTTCCAGCCAATTATTTTGGATCCAGCCACCCATGGCAGATTTCTGTCTCTTGAAGTTTAGTTAAAACTTTCACTCTGCTTGATCTGCTGTACCTTAAAAACACACATTCGAAGTTCCTGAGCTTGCTAACCACAGGGAATTACGTTTGTTTTTGCAGACTTTTATTTCAGGAAATACTCTACTGCGTACCCCCTTAAGCACAAATATATTTACTTGAAGCTCATCTGTATCAGTGATTTTTACAAAAATCCAGATGGGAATTTTACAACAACGAATGTCTTCTTTGGAAACATCATAGTCAAGCAGTTCAGTTGCCTGAGAGGAGCTTTCTAAAACATTGTCAATAACAGAGTAAAATCTTACACACTCCAGCATTAAAATGTTGAATGAAGAAGGAAGGTAAAGATGAAATATACAGTGAGCTCACTTTCTTGTGGATTTCTGTTTACGAAGTATTCTAATTTGGATTTTATATTTTTGACAAGTGCATTATTTTAACCTCTCAGTTCAGTTTTCAAGATGGCTATAGCGCTCTCAAGAACAAGGCTAGTGCTTTTGAAATCTTTGCCTTGGTTTTAAGGAGAGAGGTATGATTTATAGACAACCTGTTAGGTTCATCGCAAGTTCTGACCGACTTTCCACCGGTTTCTGACCAGGTTTGATGAAGAGCATGTGGAATCTTACCTGTCATGCAAACCTTGATGTTTTCTCAAATAGCCTGGCTGTAGGTAGGAGAACCACAAAAAGTCCAGGTGCAAAGTGTAAGAGTCCTTGCTTAGTTAGTGCTTCCAGCTACTCAGCTCCCACGCAGGATGGGATGTCATACAGAAATGATTGAAGCGAGATGTCATCTTTCCAAACATTTTTGGATATTTAGAAGAGGGGGAAAGCGTTTATATAAGGCTGGACTACAATTTAACATCCTCTTGAGGAAGAGATAAGAAAGCCAGAAGCTTCTTGCTCTCCTAAAAGTTAAAGAAATAGTTAACAGCTTCTTTTTATGCCCTTCCTTTTCAACATCTTTTGTTCAATAGGAGGTCCCTGCAATATGTCTGATACAGGCCTGAAGGACTTCTGAAAAGCAAATGATAGAAGCAAAGTTAAGAGATTGAGCAGCAACTTCACTTCAGTAACTCCTGCTATCTTGAATTTGGTTATTTAATCTGTATGAAGGAACCAACCAGTTGAGCACAGCCAAAGCAGAAAAAGCTGTCACGTAGCTCAGGTTTGTGCACTGCGCAAACTACCCTTGTCTTTTTTAATTGGAAGCAAATGAATCATGCAGATTGGGTTTAAAGTGCTATAAATCTAAATGGGCTGCTGAGAAAAGTGGAAGCCTACCATCTGGAGTCTGCAAATGAAACCGGGCAGTGAACCTACCCACAGAGCTCCCAAAAGCTTGTTGGGCATATGGGAATCTTTTTTTTTTTTTTTTTTTTGGTTTCTGAAATGTTTGGCATTGTTGGGCACCTGTAGGAAGGAAGGAGGCCTGTTCATCCTTACTCTGCTCCTGGCAGTGCCGTGTAGGGCACTGATGGAAATTTTGTGCTGCAAAAGGAGGGAAGGAGATGGTACAACTGACCGGGCAGCTCCAGCCAGCTCTTCTGGCCTGCTTTGTGCCTGAGGTTGTGCTGTGCCTTCGGTCTCACCTCCTGGTGAAGTTTGGATTTTAACGTTTGGGTTTTTTTCTTTCATTTTGGCCTGCCTTTAACTGAAAGTTCATGGAGTGGATGCCAGCGGGATATCCCTGTTCTGTGCTTTAGGATCAGTCGTGTCACTGGAGCAGCAAAATAGCAGGTTTTTAATAGGGCGAGCCTTCGTTCGACTTGCACGCGCTGACAAAAATCCTACCAAAAAGGGATCTTAGATATAGGTTGGATGGGACTGAAGGGTCACGCGTAGCCTCTTTCCGTAGCCCTGAGGCAGAATCGGGTCTACCTAAATCATTCCTGACCAGTGTTTGTCTAGCAGCTTCTCAGAAACCTCGGAGACGGACAGCTCCATCGTCTCCCTTGGCAGCTTATTCGACCGTTCAAATCTTTGCAGGTTAGAAAGTTAGAAAACTTTCCCTTATTTAAACCAAGTCTCCCTTTCTTCAATCAAAGCCCTCTTACAGTGTGTTAAGATCAGGAGCGCAGACAGATATACTTTAAGGAGCTGTAGATACTCCATTTTATTGTGTGATGAGGAGCATAAGGGCTATGGTATGTGGTATCTAGTTACTAGGGCTTGAAAAATTTGATGGAGCCCATATGACAGCAGAAGCATTTCTGCTTGTGTTCCTGGTTTGTGGTCTGCAGGCAGGCATCATACAAGCCCAGCTTCTCACTCCCAACTGTGAATTGGAGGGGTGCTAGGATTCCTGCAAGAATGCAGCCCCTGGGCCCTGTTGAGTGCTCTATTTTTCTAAGTTTTGAAATTTGAACCCATATGCCTTCTGGCTGCTGGAAAGGAATTTTCTTTTTCCATCTCTGATAAATATGTATGTCTGAGTGCTCATGCTCATTGTTCAGGCTCTGCTCTGGTTTGTGCTTGGAGAGGCGATGCAGGGAAGGGAGGCAAACTCCCTTGCCAGGAATGGCTCTGGCATTTTTGGCTACTCAAAGCTCTCCTAAAATGGAGGCAATAAAGACTTATGCAATAGCGGGAGTTTCCAGTACACAGTCTGAGATGGGGAAAGACTTGCTGTAATGATTCGGGGAAGGTTACCACCTGGTGATCTCTGTTGCAGGAGGCAAGTCTGGGGATTTCATCCTGAGTGTCAGAGCCTGACCTGCTTAAAGATAATTAGACTAACTTGCAGTGAAGATGGGAGAAGTCTTCAACAATTATGTTATTAAAGGATGTTATGTTCGCATTTCTGAGCCGTCAGGCAGGTGTTTGGAGCTGCTGTGTGCTTTAAAGCACCCTTGAGCGATGTGGTCTCTGCCAGGGAGGGATGAGAGGGGGACAGTCCTAGCAGTGGAAATCCTCTGTAGCCAGGGCTAGGGCGGCATGAGCAGTGCATACCCCCCATGGCTCTTTGGCAGATACCCACTGCTCCAGAGGGACAGGGGTTATCTACTCTTTCTGCAAAAATTGCTGGCAAGCCTCCCTTGTGCTATGGGGCAGGCTGAGGGCCTCGGTCTGGCCGCGTCATGGGCTCACCAATACCTGGGTTCCCTTCACTGTCAAATAAGAATAGTGGTATTTACCGACCTTTTAAATGCCTTGAGACCAGCAGCTTAAGCTGATTGATAGGTATAATCTCTGTAGTTCTCTATTCTCTCCCTTTCTCACTCTGTATGTGTATTTTATGTGCAGACTTCTTTATTCTACAGTAACTTCTGTCCACTTGTATGTGCCTTCCTTCACCATGGCTGCCTCTGCCACTCCAAGTATAGAGCCTGTTGTTTGACTTTGAACTTCTGTGCTAACAGTGATGCCATGCTTTCCTTATCTTCTTAAATATCTCACGTCTGCATGTGGCTGTTGCTGCTTCCTGCCTCCTTAGTCTTTGCTTTTATAGAAGTTGCAGCTGCAGAGAGCCCCTCCAGAACTCCTCGCTTCCCTTATGCTTCACATGGCTGAAAAATGATGCAAATACCAGATAAAAACAAATGGGAGTTTGCATGCATGACTCCTGTAATCCCTAGAATGACTTAACACGTTAATAGGATTAAAGTACTTGTACAACAGAGCAAGTTCAGCAGCGTGGTTGTGAAATGGTGCAAAATATTGACTGCTGCTACAAGCTGGTATCCGGAAAAGCGCATGTGCTCTCAAAGCAAAAAGGAAGATATTTTGATCAAATTCATTTTCTAAAGTGGTACTTCTGACTCCATCAGGACAAGTACCTTTTCTGTTTGTTTTTTTTTAATGGGAACTGTTCTTAAATGACAAATTCAGCCATGATTCTTTCAGCTAAAGTTGAAATGTGTGACAGTTTGTACTAAAGTTTTTTGGGTCAAATTGTTAGATAAGTATTTGTTTCTAAAGTCCTTAAACAAAAATCCCTCTGTGTATAACACACAGTATTAAAACTAGAAACTTGAGGTGAATTTAATTTGAGAAAAGGCTCTTTTAAATCTGGCAATGTTCCTATTTTGCACCTGCAAGTGAAATGTGTTAGGTTGCTTGTCTTCCAATGCTTTGCATTGCTGATTTTTAACCTGAGAGGTGCTGCATGCATTAATTGGATCTGGCTTTCACTGTGGAGGTGTTCTCTTGTCACTTGGACATCTCTTCCCTCAGTTGACCCGAGACCTTCGCTACGAGGGCTTGTTAGTGGAGTGATCTAATTGCACTGCTTTCTAATTCACAAACTGCATGTAACTTTATGCACCCTTTCTCTAAACCGGCCAGCTTGCGAGCTTCAGAATTGCAAGGGTGGAATGACTGTTATAATCAGGATAAGTAGGATTTGAAACAATTGAAGTTTAAATCTAAAATGATGGCAATTGAGCTACAGCAGATAGAATTCATGCTGCAGTTTGCCTATCATATATTGCAGCCTTTTATTTTTGTGGCACCCCAAAGTGTGGGATGCTGCCAACAAATAACAGGCTGCTTTCCCCAGGTGCTAGCAGAATTAATGGGAATCCAGATACAGCTCGACAATCCCTTAAACTTTAGCATGGTCCCTTGATTTTGACCTCTCTGCTTTGAAAGCAGGCTATTCCACATATAGCACCTATTTCCCATAGAGCAGATTTCCCATATCTGAGTAAAGCTTATTGTTCTGAATGATTTTGAAGCTTTTACTGGGTGGGTCGGTTGATGAGTTCATGAGGGGATGTCTGTGCTTGGTAAATGGCTAGTGAGATGGTGAAAACATTGCTCCAGGCTCCGTTTTAAACTGGGCTCTCTTCTTCCCAACTGCTTTTTTGTTTTGTTTTTGCATTTAAACTTCAATGGTTTGAGTGAGGCACGGAGCAGCTCTGTTCTCCCCTGTTCTGACGCACTGGCATTTGTGACCCCCCAGAACAATGACAACGAGACAGCGCTGCACTGCGCCGCGCAGTACGGCCACACAGAGGTGGTGAAGGTCCTTCTGGAGGAGCTGACCGACCCCACCATGCGCAATAACAAGTTTGAGACTCCTCTGGACCTGGCCGCGCTCTATGGGAGGCTGGAAGTCGTGAAGATGCTCTTGAACGCTCACCCCAATCTTTTAAGCTGCAACACTAAGAAACACACTCCCCTGCACTTGGCAGCTAGGAATGGTCACAAAACTGTAGTCCATGTCCTCCTGGATGCTGGCATGGATAGCAACTATCAGGTATCTACTGTGCCTGTGTGTGCAGGGCTGGTCTGATTGCTGGGGGGTGGAGAAGCCCTGTAGTCACGATACAGAGAGCTCCACCTAACCCTCCTCCTGGAGGGATCATTTATGAAAGATGAGTGATAGCTTTGTTTTCCTCTGGGCTGTTTGTTCAGCTCTTGGTTGCTCTGAGAAGCTGCTCCGAGGGATTCTGGTGCTGTGCATGCTTCACGCCTGCTCGTTAGTTGGACAAAGAGCCCCAGACACATAGCCAGGGAGGGGGAAAAAAAGCTCTTTTGCCTAAGCTGTTCTGCTCTGCAAAACCATGAGCTCTTGATAGCAATGGAGGCAAACTGTTTCTCTTCCTATCAAGCCACTTGTGAATATGCTATTTTCACAGCAATAGCTTGTATGTGGTAGTCTTGTCTGTCTTTTTCAGGACATGACTTCTTGCTAAGCTGTAGAAAATCCTTTCTTGGTCTCTAACCCGGGCCCATGTGTCTCTCTGAAGAGACCATCCCATTTTCCCTTCCAAATTCTCAGCATTGTAGTAATAGTGATAGTTTGTCCTCAGTTGTAGATATTGTTGCCCACACTTTGTATATGGTGCTGTATATTTATTGCTTCTGTAACTTTCTAAAACATGCCTCCATCACCATTCCTCACTGTCTAGCTTCATGCTATTTTCCATTTAATTTGCAGACTGAAAAAGGCAGTGCTTTGCACGAAGCTGCTTTGTTTGGCAAGACAGATGTGGTACAAATATTGCTGGCTGCAGGTGAGAGAATGTTCCCCTTTTGAAGCAATAACATGGTGATCCCTTCACCCAGAACTTGAGGAAATGCCTTTTTAGTGGCAGCATGTTGCTCCAAACAGCTATCAAAGTGTTGTTCCTTGGAGAGGGTTATAGGAGAGGTTATCTCTTGGTGTTTGGCTTTAAATCTGCTTCTCTAGAGCAATTATCTTCCCCCCCAGTGATGATCATAAATGTGAGCTCTAACTTCATTAAAGGCATGAATTTGCATATAGTTTGAGAATATTCTTGCTTTTGCCTTCTCTACATCTATACTGTAGGTATTGATGTGAACATAAAGGATAACAGAGGCCTGACAGCTCTGGATATTGTGAGGGAGCTTCCTTCTCAGAAAAGCCAACACATAGCAGCTCTCATCGAAGGTAAGTGGTGTAGCTCTGTGTGTGGGCAGGAGGGAAAGGTTTGAGGTGATAATTGTGCCAGTGCAAGTACAGGATTTTGTTCTCTAGTCCTGGAAAGTGCTGAAAGCAAAGCAGCCTCAGGCCAGGCCCCTCGATGAGAATCTTACAGGTGTTGGAAAGAATGATGCTTAAATGCTCGGGTGAACTGTCTTCAGAGCAAGTGTTTGCAGGGGGACTTCTGGGGGGGGGATTTAGGGGGATTAGCTCCTTTGCTGAAGGAGTGTGGCATGACTTTTACAGTTTAAATGGGCTTAATTGAGCTTTGTTTAACTCACTTTAGAAGTTAATTAAAATTAAGGATAGCCTAAATCTGCTTGCAGAAAGCAAAGTAATAGCTTTAGAAATGGTTTTGGATTAACTATCCTTTATGTGTCTGTGTAGGCAAATAGTCATCCATGGATCTTACATCCTACTCCTCACTTCATTGTGAAGCTTGGGCATGGATTTTGCAGATGAGATTTACAGAAAAGGCCTGGATTACTTGTGGTTTATAAAGGAGCTTGGCCCATTGTGTCTGTCCAATTTAGGGAATGAAATGTGGCATCTTAGCTAAATTCATACCTTGTAATTATGCTGTCTCAATTTCCTCTCAGCTGTGGGGAGAAAGATCAGAAGCGTATGCAACTGGTGTGCATTATTCATGCTTGGCATTTGAGAGCTTTACAGGTTCAAAGCACTTTGCAGACTTTTAATTAAGCTTTGCCTGTGAGGCTGGTAGGTATTATCTCTATTCTGAAACTGAAGACAAAGATGAGCTTTAACACTAAAGTTCTTGCAGGTAAATGCTGTTCGCTTGCTCCTGTAAGTGAGCTAGCTGCATGAGATGTTGCTGTCTGACTTTATTCACATAAGCTTAATATTTCTGGCTCTTCCTGTGGTTAGGGGACCACAGCTAGAATTGGTTTCTCTGCTGTCTTATGACTCCAGAAGACCAGACTGCATCTCTGTTTAGTGATGTAGCTTGTGTCTACAGCATGAAGTAATCTGCTCCATGACATCGTGTCCATACAGGAGCTTTGCAGCTTTCTGATTAAAGACTCTGTAAAAGTTCAAAGAACCGTCCTTAACCTTGTGCATGTGATTCAAGAGGCTGCCTGCTTCTATTTTGGGATCTGAGCTGCAAGTTTTAATAATGTACTTTGGTTATTTTTTGGAGACTTAATAAGCTGACAGTTGGCCTTCCATCCACAAGGGAGGAGTACCATACGCTGAAGTGGACATAAAACTGAATTGGCATGAACTGACCCTGTTGCCCCACCTCATTGCAGATTACACAATTGGGAAGAAAAGTGCCAAAGCTGCAGAGAAGACTGTTCAAGCACCGCTTGTTCCAGCTGCTGATCCTGTGTGCCGGATATCTCAGGGTAGGCTTCTGTGCAACATGGCAGTCACTAGCACTGTCCTTCCTGCAACTGCTGACTTTCCAAGGGCAGAAGCCCCAAGTGATGCTCTTGTCTCTTCCTCTCACAGGTGATGTGGAGAAAGCAGTTACAGAACTGATCATAGATTTTGATGTGAACCCAGAAAAGGAGAGCCCATATGAAGCTTTATACAATGCAACGTCCTGCCACTCCCTGGACAGCCTTGCCAGTGGGAGATCTTCAGATCGAGAGTCTGTGAATAAGGAAGCGGAATCAACTGGTCTCAAAGCAGCAGGAGTCAGGCCTGTATGTAGCTATGTGTGTTCGTCTCTGCTTGCCTTAGAAAGATAGGTAACTTACCTCTATTTTCATGACTTTGCAGCAGGCTGCCAATCCCTCAGCTTGAGGAACTCTTTAAACCCACCCCTGGCATTGATTAGAGCAGGCAGGTACCTCTCCTTTTCACTGGCCTGTTCACATAACCTCCATTGCATTGCCCGTGAGTAGCCACTTCTACATGCCTGATTTTCACCTAGCGTTTTATCCTTCTGTTTTCTGGCAATTGAATACCGGTGCCTGTGAATTTTGGTTTGTCAGGACATTGCACTTAGGTCAAGGGCTAACTTCTTGTCTAGAAGAAAGCTTTGGAAACTTTTGTGTGGAGCATTTTTCTCATCTCTCTTGCTCTCTGCTTTGCCCAAGAGAAGGCTCTCAAGAAATTATCTTTAAGAATATCCTGTCAGAAACTAGTTGGCAGTGGAAACATTTTTCTTTTTGTGTATTACTTGCAGAAATCTGTAGAGGGTACTCAAGGCTTTACAAGGCAATGCAAGGCTCCTGGAACTGTCTCCAAAGAAGTCTTCCTCACCTTCTGTTAGTTGCATCTGCTGCCCCCTTAGCAATCGGTGGCAATGCTGCTATGGGGCAGATGGGATGCTGGCCTTGCAGCATGCTGTGTCAGCTTCAGGGTTTGTTTTCTGGTTGGTTTTACAAAGCCTGCTCCATGGATGTATTTTTGGACAAAAGGCAAAGCAGCAATGAACAATTAAACTGCTGGTGGTACTGTAACAATGCTTCCTCTCTCTCTGCAAAGAGGTGCATCCTTTTTCCTGTACTATTAGCAAATATAGTAGAAATGAGACAAAAGCTTTAGAAGACTGACATTTCAGCCAGATCTCTCTCTCAGGTATGCAGTACAAGAGGCACTGTCCTGTTACTAACTGAACCTTGATGGCTCATATCCATCTATGTACTGCCCTGTGTTGATAGTGTCTGATGTGAAATAAATTCAGCTCTTTCACAAATAAGAAAAGATGAGGGGCTGAACTGCAGCGAAAAGGGAGAAGAAAGAGGGACGTGCTCCAGGAGCTTGCTGGAGTTTCTCCCCAAACTTGCTTGAGTTTTCTGGAGCGAGCGGTGCACCTCTGCCGTCTTTCCCTTTGCCATTAGATGGAGCTGTTGCAGGCAGGAGATGACCTGGAGATGTGTTTAAGCTCTGCATGGAGACAGGGCAGCGCAGCTCTAACTGCCCACAGGCAATCTTGGGATATTTGAGGAATGCAGTGCAGCATTGTCCCTTGATCTCTAGGGTTTTCCGCTATAAAAGGTGCCTCTGGAATCACTTATTCCTGTTACTGTTTCATTGACACAAGCGATGAGTCTTCCTTTTCTACCCATTTGTATGAGTTCATTACTGACCTTCACAGTGAAATGCTGTGCCATTGAGGTTACCAGTCTGGGTCTGAATGAACTGGCGTAAGTAACGAAGCAATAAACCTGTGTACACAGCACCTTCCACCCGAGCGGTTTTATTCTCCTGAAAGCATAGTTGGTGCTCACGTGGGTCGGAGCTGGCCTTGTGAGCGGTTCACCTCTGCCGTCTTTCCCTTTGCCATTAGATGGAGCTGTTGCAGGCAGGAGATGACCTGGAGATGTGTTTAAGCTCTGCATGGAGACAGGGCAGCGCAGCTCTAACTGCCCACAGGCAATCTTGGGATATTTGAGGAATGCAGTGCAGCATTGTCCCTTGATCTCTAGGGTTTTCCGCTATAAAAGGTGCCTCTGGAATCACTTATTCCTGTTACTGTTTCATTGACACAAGCGATGAGTCTTCCTTTTCTACCCATTTGTATGAGTTCATTACTGACCTTCACAGTGAAATGCTGTGCCATTGAGGTTACCAGTCTGGGTCTGAATGAACTGGCGTAAGTAACGAAGCAATAAACCTGTGTACACAGCACCTTCCACCCGAGCGGTTTTATTCTCCTGAAAGCATAGTTGGTGCTCACGTGGGTCGGAGCTGGCCTTGTGCAGTGTTACTGCTACGGAGCAGAAGTGGGTGGTCTGCGTTATCAATAGCAGTCCATCCACAGGACTGCAGTACCGTGAATCTGCAGAAAGGCCTCTCCGCCCGAATAGGTATCCTGCTGGAGAGGAGGAGGAGGAAAGGCAGCAACCATTGCCAAGCTCTGTGCTGTTAGGACTGAACTTCTACTCCACCCAGGTTAATCTGAGGATGTCCTTACCATGCTGCATTCACAGCAGCATGGATGTAGTGTTGGTGGAAGCAGAAGGGGACATGCTTTAACACAACGCAGTTGACAGTGGTTTTTTAAACTGCAGAGAGAACGTCCGCCCCCACCTGCCAAGCCTCCACCTGATGAAGAGGAGGATCAGCAAGTGGAGAAGAAGATAGGCCATGGTGCTTCCTGTGAGGTAAGTGGGGCTTGATCTGGGATGTTTTATACAAATGTGGTTTAAAGAACAGTTTTAGAAATGTGGGAGGAGCCAACTATGATATTGCCTCTCTTGCAAGTCAGGTTGTGAATGTAAAGTTTTCTTTCACTCCAGCATTGCTTCTGCCACTTGTCATGGGAACTTCCTTTGTGTGGTTCTTCCAGGGCACCTCTGTGTTGACCTTCAGCCTTACTTTCCTATTCTTGGCTGGGAATTCCCTTAGGAAGAGATTTTTCTGAATCACGTTGCAATGTGGACTGTTGCCCACTTGTAATGATCCCACCAAATGCATTTTCACTTGAGCCTGAAACCCAGAGGGCGTCGCTTCCTGCTTCCTCTTAGCTTCCAGCTGTGGAGGAGATGCGTGGGCTCGTGGGTCCCACTGACGTGAACAGGGATCAGGGGCTTGAATTCAGCCAAGAATCTGGCCCAGGATATGTTAAAACTGTCTTCTGCAGAGGTCAATGTGTGAGCTGCTTTTTGATGAAAGTAAAGCTCTCCTGTTCTGCATTATTGCTCCTGGGTTTCCTGTTGCTCACTTTTATTCACCTGCCTGCGAACCTCTGACGTGAGGGCTCTCCGGGAGACCTGTGTATGGGGGTGTATGAAACCACAAATGTGTCTTGGCAACTTCTGCTGACACTCAGGAAAATCTTCAAAGCAAAAACAAATCTTGTGAATTTCCTTGATTTTCCAAATGCAGTAGGTTGTATGTAAAACAAGTGGAGTGTGTGCTGCGTCTAGCTTTTGGAACAGACTCCAGTTCACCAGATGCTTTGCTTTGAATGTGTTGATCTGCTGAAGTTCCTACAAGGCATAAATGTGATCTGTTTTCTGAAGTATGTCAAGTCTACATGAGACAGGAGTAAACATTATTGGCTTTAATAGAACTGACTTTTTATAGAGAGAGTAAAGCTCCAAACAGTGCATAAACAGTAAAATTGAAATGTGAAATTGTGGACTGATCTCTCCACTGCTGTTAAAATGGTTTTGCAGTGTGTGATAACCAGTCCCATGGCTGGCCCTGGGCAGAGGAGAGCTGGGTAGCAGGTCACGGCATAATTGGAAAGCAGAACTTGTTTATGACGATAAACATGAGGGAGAGAAATGTGCGTTGACTGCTCCTGCTGAGTTATCTTGCCATATTTAATTATAAAACACCTGCTGTGTTGTCCTGACATTAACAGCTTTGGAAACATGATCCATTAAAGGAAATCTTGCTGGCAAATAGACTTGTACACAAAGTGACTTGCTGGAGAGATCTTGATTTGCAATCAATTTCATTGATATAGCTTACAGGCAGTGTGTGTCGCTGCCTGGAAGTGACCTTCCAGATGTACCAATAAGGCAGTTTTGGGTCTGATTCTTTTTCTTTGCTTGCTACTTCTGGGGTGCTCTCCTTTTCTGACTCTTGCCCGTTACTTATCATCTCAGTACATGTTCTGTCTGGGTTGGGCAGGCGTGAACAGGAATATGCTTAGGGAATGCTGTAAATGTCTTGGAGCAGCATCCTGATCTGCCGTCCTCCCGATCTGCTCTCACATTAGAGCCAGGACAGTTAGTCATTGAATACTCTGGGGTTGGGCCAAACTCTAGTTTCAAAAGTAGTCTTTTTATTCCATTGCCAAGATGGGGCTATCAGTCAAAGCAGATGTGCATAAACAACAAACTTTTAACTTTCATCATGGAAAAACATTAGTACAAACAGGCAAAAGAGCTGATTGTTTGGAGGTGCTCAAGTGCCTTCTTTCACTATCTGGAGAAACCTTCTGGGTTTGTAGCTGAATAAGAGCCTGCATTGTCAAATTAAACTTCAGTTCCATTTGTTTACTACACATCTTCGAAAGGGAAGTGCAGACAAAAGACGAGGCGCCATGAGTGTTCCAGCAGTTTGGTCTGCAGTTCTGGTGGGGGAGGAGAGAGAAACGAGATGAGTTACCCTTTAAAAAGTCTTTCAAAGTTCACTGCTGTGGATTAAGTACACTTCAAAGAGCATATGCATTATTAACAACATCGTATTTTGGGGCTTTGCTAATAGTGAATATTTATACATGCTAACCAACATGTATAAATAAATGAAAGATGAATTGGAAGGAAGTTTTATTTGATTTTGTTACTCCTGGTTGCAGAGCCTACAGAACAAGCATGGTTCTCCAGCAAACAATGGTCATCACTTTGAGTGAATTTGAACCTGAAACTCTATTTAATACAGCTTGTAAGGATGAGAGACGGAAAAAATAGTGTAACCAGGCCTATAAATGCATGCACAAAAGTTTACAAGGCAAAAACTGAATTGTCTGCTGCTAGGGAGCTACCGCCTTCGAACGCATTCAGTGCATTTGAAAGAGTACAGCACAATAATCATCATCTGCAGGAGTCGTAGGAGTGTACTAATGCCTGGCTTGAGGTCCAGGCTACAACTGTTATGACAGGCTGCTGCTGTGCAGTATTTTTCCAAGATCTCTGGCGAGAGCCTGTTACCTGCTGTTATGGTCTGATGTTTTTGTGCCACCATCTGGTCAGAATTTTTTTCCTTGATTTGCTCATTATGAGCTCCTTCACCTGAAAAGGAGCAGGTCTGCCTGACAGCTCATGCTTGAAGCAGGTAGAGTAATACTTTCTTTGCTGGGCATGGCCCATTTCCTCCCATTGAGAAAGTTGATTTAAAAGCCAGCTGGGCTTATGCAGAAACAGTACACAGATGCAGGACTCCTGTCTGTGCTGCTGACTCCTCGGCGTCTTTCCAAGACTCCCTAAGCTTCCAGAGGTCCTGGCTAGATTGCAGTTGGGTAGGTACCTATTTGCCCTTGAAGCAACTCTGATGCTTTCACTTTGGGGAAGAAATTTGAGGTGGTGCTTAGTCTGCTGTCTAGACAGTGGCAGTTCCAAGGGTCTGTGAGCAGTATGAGAGCCCTCCTTGGAGGGACGTTTTGTTCAGACCTGTTCTTCCCTGTCCTGGCAGCAGGTAGGGATCACTTGCTTTCTGGCTTGGGTTTGACCCACCACAGTTGGCTGTAGGCACACATGGCTCCTGGGACAGGGTTGCATCAACCTGCCAGGGCCTGGCCAGGAGATGGTGCTGAAAGGCAGCTGACCATGCAGGCAGGGTGCCTTGAAGCCCAGTTTAGCCCCATTAGCACTGGGATGGCACACATGGCTCTCGAAAGATGTCGAATGCCTATCATCCTGAGCATTGAGGTAGACCAACACGTGTGAGTCTGCAGCAGGAGTCATTTGGATGCTGCATCAAGACCACATCCCTGCATGTGGATGGTGGCTTTCCAGAGCAGCTTGCTGGAGGACCTGCCAGTATTACAAACAAGCTCTAATCAGAGGCTTTGGGGGATTTAAATGAGCACAATCGTTGCTGCACATCCTGAGGTTAAACTGAGTTTTTATACAGTGTTGCCCGAGAGCTCTTTAGTCCTAAAGACATGGTGCATTCTGAGATTAGAAATGCTAGGTCTGACACTTCTGAGAAGGTGGCAGGGATTTGGGCTTTTTTTTCCTAGCCATGTCCTATAGGGCCAGTAACTAAATAGTGAATGACGATGCAAATTCCAATAGCAACAGTAAGTCTGAGTTGGGATGAACACGAATAATGGTCTCAGCTCTTTTTCCCCCTCCAGGCTGTCTGCGGACCTTGCGCTGTGAATCGGTTGGTCAGTGGTAGAAAGCTGTCAGCAGCCTTAAATACTAGAAAATAAAGGGGGTTTGGGAGGGATTTTTTGAAGGGGGGAGGGGGGAAGGGAGCATTACATTTTGGATCACGCTCCACAGCAAAGGTGTTGCCTCTGCCAATTCCTTGCTTAAACCATGGCATAAAGAGGCCTTGTACTTTATTGCCGGGGTAAATAGCATTGCTTTGTGGAGCACTACATTATGCTGTTTTTCATTAGGCCTCTGTTACACGAGGAAAGAGCAGGGGAAGTGGAGCTGAGGAAGAGGAACACCCTTACGAGCTGTTGCTTACAGCAGAAACTAAAAAGCCCGTTGCGGTGGATAGGAAAACAAAAGGTAAGTGACCATCCAAAAACCAGAGCTGTTTGCTTAGATGCATTTAAGGAGAATACAGAGGGCAGAGAGTAACTGGAATGATTAAACTCTTTGTTGGGTGGGGCAGCTGGGGTCTGGATTGCAATTGTGTTGTTTCCTGGTAATCTTCACTTTTATAAAGGAGAGATCTAAACGTTCCTGTACAAAACGTACATGGAGGAAGGGCAACTCTGCTATTTTGACAACTAAGAGATTGCGAGGACCTACTCTGTTAACTTAGAAAATAAGCAAATCTTGTGCACAGTCAAGTAAATGCGGAGGGGTGGAAGGCTATGTTATGTTGTTACAAGTGAGATGAACCAATGCAAGCATTTAAATGAGCCATATTCTCCATCCAGCTGAATTTAAAGACCTGCTGGCATTGCATGTTTATATTGGCAGATGATTCTCCCTTCTATCCTGGTCTTAAAATCAACATCCCGCTGTGTATTAAAGCTCATTTGAGATGTAAACTAACAAAGGAGAAAAACAAATGTGTAGAGCAAGCCCCTTTCTAGAACAGACTGAAAATCCACTATATAGCCAGGTTAAGCATCAAACTAGTCTCTCTTCTCCCAGAGGGACTTCTGTGCTTTACAAAGGATCTGGGAACACCTTGTCTCTTGTGTTTGGCTATTGCTGGGCTTTTTGGCTTTCCTTCAACAACAACAACAAAAGATGTGTTTAGAGGAAAAATGTCTCTTGCTTTATTCAAAAGTCCTGAGCAGGAGTTTGGAAGGATTTAGTTTGGACTCTAAACCTGGAAACCATCTCACTTTGAGGATGAACAGAGGATAGCGAGGTCTCGATGTGATGCCTCATTGACTGCCCTGTAAGACCTGCAGGTTTTTGGTTTTTTTTCCCCTCTTGCAGCATGATAGCTTTCATTCCTTGAGTCCTGCCGCACTCCTAGCTTGTATAGGGTGGCACAGGAGGTCATTGTTTTCCCACTAGCAATTTGCCAAATCCACTTGCTGCCGGAGGCAAAGTTAGGATGCTTTTCAGGTTGGTGCTTTGTGGTCTCACTCAGGAATAGTCCTTGGGCGACAGCCATTGAACCAGAAGCTTTCAAGCTATCTTTTCAGTGCACAGCTATTGCTGGTTATTCAAGTGCAAGCTATTCCCGACTGCTTTGCTCCTTTCTCTGACTACCATGTCTAGGCTTGATTGCTATGAGTGAAGGTGTGTCGTAATTATGTGTCAGATTACAATAAAATCTCAAAGTAATGCATCTGCTTGTTCTTGATGGAAATCTCTTCCCCTGAACACCCAAAGACGTTGGTATTGCAGGCCCTCGAAGCCCCATTTCAGGGAGAGGTTGCAGGAAGCATCTTTAGCCTATTAAGGATCCAGAGCAGAGTCCTGTCTTTTAAAATGTACAGCTAGAAAGACAATAGCTGTGACTTCAGGGTTTGCAGCCTATGGGAAGTGTTACTGTGTTTGTAACAAACCTATGAGCCCTTTCTATTGATGTGGTCGGAGAAATCCAGGGATGCAGTTGGGTTTTCTCGTCTTCCAGGACTTGTTCACTCTTTTAAATGCAACTAGCACAATGACTAATGCAGTGGAGCCTTCGATCTGGTGGAAGTGAAGAGCTGCTCCTAGGGAAAAGGGGCCCAGCCAATGTCTTTCTCATCTCTTGCATTTCTTAAGCTTGCCAGGGCCATCTCCCATTGCTCCTTGTGGTGGACCTGGAGAAAGGGCCATGACTGTTTGTCCCCCTTCTCCAGAGGGTACCAGCTGTTTTCCAAGGCATCTTGGAGTGCTCCCTGTGGCACAACTGCACATGTGGCAGTGTCCCCAGCTGGCAGCTCTCCCTGTGCTGCAGGAGCAACTGAGCTTTGACAGGGCCCCATGCCATCCTTCACCTGCTGCTTGTCCTCTCAGGGACTGCCACCTTCTCAGCCCTAGTAGGAAATGAGGCACTGACTGTATTTTGTCTTTAGCGCTGTTTTGTGTTGTTCACCCTTGCTTTCTCTCACAGCATTACAGGTTGCTTCTTTTTCCACACGAGTTTCGTAACCGCTCTGGAAGGGTGGGTCAGCTTTGGAATCTGCTTTATTATACTGGGAACAAAAGGAAATGTTTCCGGCTTTCGCAGTAGTTGGCGTCAGGTGCCAGAAGGGCATGTGGAAGCAGATGTAGCTAAGTATGAAATGTGAGGTATATGCTGATGGGGGGGGCAGAAGATGCATTTAGGGAGTAGCAGAGTCGTTTCGGTAAAACATTAAACAAGGGCCAAGTGAGGGGCCAAGTGAGGGACCAAAGCCTTAATTGGGGTGTTGGAGAATTTTCCCACCTCTGGATCAGAAGGGTCCTGGAGCATCAAAGGCAGCAGCTCAATCCCAAGTCAAGGAGCAGGCTGAAGCATGGCTTTGAATTGCTTCTTGGCTCTCGATCTGAGAGGCTGGGCTTCTAGATGTTACTTGATGAGTTCTGGAGGAGCCTTTGGTCAGAAGAGGACGACTCTGATTCTTGCAGGCTACTGAGAAGGGCTTTTCAGGGCAGCTGAAAGGCTGAATTCCAGGCACGCCATTTTTAATGGTGCCTTTCATATGTGATAGCTGCCTTTGTTCCTGTTGCTGCAAGTTGTCTTGTATTCAGTGACTAGATGAATGTGGTATTATCTGCCTGGCTTTGGTTGCCTGTTGTGTATGTTACAGCAGTTTGCTGTCACATGCTGGAGCACTAGGAAAAGTTGGCTTAATGTTTTGGGCAGAGTATCAGAAGTGGTTTGAGCCAAATGCTTTCCCATCCTCTTTGGTAAGGAAACTATGTGCAATCGCATGCATGAAGTCAGGGCATTTAGACCTTGTAACGGGACTTGTAAATAGGCTAAGAGTGGCGAACTGACCAGGAGGAGACTGTACAAGTCCTGCTGCATTCAGAGAGACCTGATGGAGGGTGAATGGGGAAAATACTTCTGAGTTTTGATGTCTGTCTTGCCTCTCAGGAGAGTCATCCGCAAGTGCTGTCAGTAACCAGCTGCAGGTAGGACTGACTTGGTTCCTTCTGACGGTTATTAAAAACTGATTTGTTGAGGTTCTGCTGTGCTGCTTCCATAGGAAGCCCAGCTTGAAGTATCTGCTTTTCCCTTCCTCCTGCTGGAGTTTTTCTTTATGGTTATACTGGCTCAACCAGATGTATGGATGTGCTCTAAACCAGATATCTGACCCAATGATGAAAGATAAAACATGCTGCTGAGAGATTTAAAGAAAATATCTCTCCACAGAGCCAGAGTATGGCTACAGAAGCAGTGGGGTGGGTATCACTATAGGGAATCTATGGGGACATGTGCGTATTACAAACAAAGGTTGGAAGGGACAGAAACCTCTTGGTTTGCCGTGAGATGAATGATAGTGTACAACCACAGCCTGCGTGTCCTCCCTTAGTTTTATCATGCCTGGAGGACAGACCCTTTTCCCCATGTCTTAGGTCCAAGCCTGCATTTCTGCTGTCATGATATATTTAGAAGCTTCTGTGCAGAGTCATGTTAGCGATCTCTCTAAGCAACTAGGGCACTGTTTTATTGCCCTTTCTTAAAAGGGAAATAGGGAAGGGAATGCAAATGAGCACAAGTTCAGGTAGCTTTTGGAGGGTAAACTCTGTCCAAAATGACCGAGCTTGATGAGACTAATGCAGGAGCGTACTGTACATTTCTGAGTTTCACATGCCATCCCTTGCTGTGTAAATGAGCCTTTGTTTTAGTTTTACTGCAGTTGAAGGTTATTTTTGCACCTCTAAAGTAGCACCCTAAAGGCCAGCTTCCCTCTCTTCTCTGGCCTTCTGTGCCACAGGAGATAGACTTGCATGTTCCTCACTTGACAAATTCTGGCATGATGTGGTATTGGGAACCTTTTCTATATGAAAGCTAGAGGCTAGCATATGCCCTTGCTGGTTTTAAGGTTAGGGAGCCTGAGCAAAAAGCAGCTGCAATAACAGCTTCATTCTCCTAATCCAGAGGCATGAAACAAATCCTGATGATGATATATAGGGAAA